ACTACTACTACTACTACTACCAGCTCTACTACCTCTACTACTTCTGCTACCGCTACTACCTCTGCTGCCTCTGCTATCTGTGCTACTACCTCTACCACCTTTACTATCTGTACTACCTCTGCTACCTCAGCTACCTCTGCTGCCTCTGCTGCCTCTACTACCGCTACTTCCTCTATACTGCTACTGCCATCCTCACCCTCATCACCCTCGCGCTGACATATTGTGGCAATGTTAAGTGCAACTTGTCTTGCAGATCAGCGTTAGGCCTGCATGTAGGGAAATGCGATTTGACCCAAGGTTCAAACATCATCAAGTGCGGTGCACGTGTATGACAGTGACCATGGTGATGATATTCACAATGCCAGGCGAAGCTGAAGCAACAGCACTAGCCGCCGTGCCGAACTGGAACGGGCTTGTCTTTTTCTCGCAGCAAAAAATTCTTCCAGCCAATTCCAGAACGACAGCGATGATCATCTTGTGATGCTACGGGCCCAAGCCATACGGATGCTTGCACCGCACGACACGGCAGATGGCACGGGTGAGGTCCGGCTCAAAGGTGAAGCTGCTAGTCGCGCAAGCTGAGTAGCGCTTTGCACACATCAGCCCGTTGGCCCCATCCCATGTCTACCTACGACAGCACTTGAGAAAATCCCCTGTAGCCAAACTAAGCATACCAACAACACCATTACCAAAAGTATCAACACCAAGCAGAAAGAGCCCTCGGCCTCAAGATCCTTTCGCCACCATGGCTGGAGAAACTGAGGTCATCCTGTTCTGTGGAGGGTTGGAGTTCTCTGCAGAACCCTCGTGAAACAGTACAAACACATTCTGAAACCTTTCAAAACCCCTATGTTTTGTGGATTTGGGATTGGGGTTGCGCAACATCGCCGTCCAGGCGGCTGTGGTCGGCAAGGATGCGGCCGAGGGTGAGTTCGAGGTGCCGGGCGACAGGCTAAACCTAAACCCTAAACCCTAAACCTCAAGAAGCGCTTGGCTGTATCATGGCTTTGCAAGTTTATGAGGGCTTTGCTGGCAAGGGTTCGGTAAGGGTTGCTATGGTGGCTTTTAAAAGGGAGGTTTCTTGCAAAACGGGTTTGACGAGGGTCACTTGAACGGAGGCTGTGGGTTCAGAGGTTTAGGGGTTAAGGGCCTTGGCGTTTAGGGGTTTCGGGTTTATAGAGGATCAAGGATTTCGGCTTTGGGGTCACGTGAAGCCCTCTGGTTAGGGTTTAGGGTGCAGGCTTTAGGGCCGACTCAATCGTCGTTGTAGACTAGAGAAAGCTTATAGCATTTACTACCATGACCAATGCCCTGGAAGTGTGTCGGTATTATCCTGCTGCTCAGTTCCCAAACCCAAACCCTAAACCCCCAAACCCTAGGCCCCACCAAATGGCCTTCAAAAAGAATAAATCCCACACCCTCAACCCTTAGTGTCAGGACAACCCTAAACCCTAAACCCTAAACCCTTAGTGCCCGGACTGCCGTTTCCTCGCTGCATTTCGCCAGGCTTCTGCTTTCGAGGCGCTGGAGCGGGACTTCCAGGACCCATACCTCTTCTGTGGGTATGACCTGCTATATATGCATGTAAACTTTTACTATATATAGATATAGATATAGATATAGATATAGATATAGATAATCTAGAGTTCAGGGTTTGTGGTTAGGGCTTCCGGGTTTGGGAGCATAGGGAAGCAAGTTGAAGCTTCAAAGGACCCTTTGTTTGGCGAAAACTGGTTGGAATGGGTTCAGGGTCGAGAAGTGGTTGCGCAGCACCTTTGCCTTCTGGACTCGAGTTTCATTGGGGCCTGTGTGCTGGAGACACTGTGGTGATCCGTTGTGAACGAACCAGGATGTATCCCTAAACCCAAAACCCTAAACCCTTAACCGAGCTGGCCCTTTCCAGTCTTGTGCCCTGTCGGAAGTCAGTGAGCCGAACAGGAAATTCTCCAAGAGCTCGTGGGAGACAAGTCCCTGGAGCATTTCCGCAACGAGTGCCCGCTTCAGGGATAGCAGGTTGGGGTTCACCCCTTCACCCCTTCACCCCAAAACCCAAAACATCCTGAAATCCTGAACCCTATGGTCGCCCTAGGTTTTTGCTATTCTTCAGTGGCCCATACCATCGGAGAGTAGAGCCACCTGCAATACTGTCGTTGCAGATTCTGCATACGACTGCCCCGGTCTTGGTTTGAGATTCGTTTTGTGTCGGGCAGTGTGGAGACCTGTCACATGGAGCGGAAGCAGGCCTTTGCTTTGTTTGTTTGTGCACTTCGGGACCTGACGTCTTGTCTTAGATTTTGTGACGCTGCAGCGTCCGGGACGTCTCCGGACATTTTCTCGAACATCGTTAAACATGTTGTAAATACCTGTTAATCTTTGACAGTCAGCTAGGCAGACAGATTTGTAGATAGGTCGACAGTGCGTGCTCGAGTGTTTCAAAAGCAGTTCGACGTGATGGTGCCACATGACGGTAGCAATCAGACATCAGGTATGATACTGGTACCAAAATGGCAACCAAACCCAAGCGCACAGCAGGCATGGAAGAAGGCAGCCGATGAGAACAAGTCTTCCGTTCCTGCTAGCTTCATTATACACTTTTCGCCACGATAAAGGGCGATAGCCCAATAACCTCTATTTCGAAAATCGTACATGTAGTACCTGCAGCCCCAGGCTATACAGGCTCGACTGCTTTTGTTATCTTTCGTTATTCTGCTGCCTCACAGGTACGAGAAGCTGCACCGCGCATTAAAGAAATCGCACGAAAGCGAGTCGCTTGCCCAGAACGGCCATGAACTGTGGGGCAGAGGGGGTCTGTACGTTTGTGCATGTTTTCGTCATTTCAGTCCCTTGAGCAAGCGCACGCCTTGTGCAGAAATCTCTTGAAGTCCTGGTATGACGGCTTGGCGGTAGTCCGGAATAATTCGAAAGCAACGAAGTTTCAGAGGCTTCGGCGCTGTTTTTTGGTCTTAAACTTCTGGGTTTTCCGTGCCGCTCACTCAGGAAGCATCTCATCAAAAAGTGCAGAGAGCTGAACGCTGAAATTGTGCAAAATGCGGTGAAGGCAGGATGCAATGGTTTTTGTGCTATCATGTCTCCTGGTCGAGTTGCTGCGGCGGCTCACTTCTTTCTGCACCGTGCAAACTCCCTGAGGCCCTGCATGTGCATGTTGCCACGGCTCGAGTTCTGCGCTTTGCGTGCTCGTGTGCCCACGTGCCTTTTGACTTCAGCGCCCTTTGTCTCCAGCCTCGAGGACTGCAGTATGACCTCGGCCGAGAAGACACGTGTGGCGCTCGTGGGCTTGGGCCGCGCTGGCCACTTCCACTTGCAGTCCGTGGTGCAGCTGCCGCACATGGTTCAGTTGTCCTGGGTGGTGGACATCGACGAGAGCAAGGCCCAGCGCATTGCTGCAGAACAGGGGTGCCGTTGGTCCACAGAGCTGGGTGAGGCGCTCGCCGACGTGGATGCAGTGATCATCGCTTCTGCGACGGACACGCACTTTCCCTACATCATGGAGTCCCTGCGGGCCAACAAAGCCGTCCTGGCCGAGAAGCCCATCTCACACGAGCTGCACGAGGTGATCGAAGCAGTGGAGCTAGCGAAGAGTCGGAACCTTCCCTTTGTCTGTGGCTACCAGCGCCGAGCCGACCGCCACTTCCGGGCGCTGAAGCAACAGCTGGACGCCGGTGCAGTGGGCAAGACGAAGTTGGTGAAGACCTGCAGCCGCGACAATCCACTCCCACCATTGGAGTACCTTCGCACTAGTGGTGGTATCTTCCACGATATGCTGATTCACGACTTCGACATGCTCGACTTTCTAAGCAACGGCGAGGAGCCTGAATCGGTAACGGCCATCGGGCATTGCTACAACGCTGAAATCCACAAGATGAATGACATCGACACTTGCGCAGTTATGTTCAAGTATGCAAGCGGCATGATGGCCATGGTTGACACTAGCCGCGATGCATCTTATGGCTACGACCAGCGCATCGAGGTCTTCGGGGAGAAGGGGATGTTGACTGCCCACAACGAGCTGACGAGCACGGTGGAGTTGGCCACCAGTGCCGGGCACCTGCGACCACCGGCCATGTACAGCTTTCCGCAGCGATACCTCCAGGCGTACCGATCCGAGCTCACGGAGTTTATCGAGCTCGTGCGTGCCGGAAGCGACAGCGAGGTGCACGCTAAGGAACAGGTCGCCATGCTCCGTCATCCTGGCGTGGTCCGTGCCACAATGGCTGCAGAGATGTCGTGGAAGCTTGGGCGCACGGTGCAGCTTACAGAGGTGGGCAGGGACTCCGAATCCGTGCCAGGGAAGATGGAGGCAACGAACATGTTCGGCGACAGCTTCCGCAACTATGAGAACTCCGAGCGCCAGGAGAAGGTTGCAGCCACTTACGGCCTCATGCACCAGAATCAGACCGTTGAGTTCGTGCGGGAGCAGCGGGAGAAGTGGATGAAGTTCAACAAGGGAGAGTTCACAGTGATGGAGGTGATTTCCATGCTGGACGACTTGGTGGACGACTCCGATCCCGATGTGGACATCCCCAACAGCATTCATGACTTCCAGACCGCCGAGCGCATTCGCGAGCAGTGGCCAGGGGAGGAGTTTGATTGGTTCCACCTGGTGGGGCTTTTGCATGATCTGGGCAAGGTCATGGCACTGCCGACGATGGCAGGAAAGGAGACTTTGCCACAGTGGGCCGTCGTGGGGGACACCTTCCCGGTCGGCTGTGCCCCTGCGGAGGATGCAGTCGTTTTCCCGGAGGCCTTCCGCGAGAATCCGGACTACCACCACCCTGTCTTCGGCACAAAAAACGGCATCTACGAGCCCGGTTGCGGCATTAGCAAGCTCATGTTCTCCTGGGGCCATGATGAGTACATGTACCAGATGCTGAAATTCAACGGCTGCACCATCCCCGAGCAAGGGCTGAACATGATCCGGCTCCATTCCTTCTATCCCTGGCATGACAAGGGGGCTTACAGCCACTTCGAGAGCTCAGGGGATGCAGAGACGAAGAAGTGGGTGAAAGAGTTCAACAAATTCGACTTGTACTCCAAGGCCGATGCGGTGCCAGATGTGGAGAAGCTGAAGCCGTACTATGCATCCCTCTTGAAGAAGTACAACCTCGATGGCAAGCTCCGGTGGTGAGCGTGAGTTTGGAAGGTGTCTGGGGGAGCCATGATCAATGTTCAGCTCTTCGTTGTAGGGTTTTGGAGGTTGCAGAGATGGTTGAGGGACAGGTTCCATGGAGCTTCCACTTCAGACCTTTCTCAGTGATCCCCGATGCCTTAGTGTGCGATTCACGCATTGCGACTGTGGGAAGTGAGACCGGCCCGTCACGCTGTGATTCGCGCAAGCACTCGAATTTATCTTTCGCAGATGGAGCTTAGCCTCCTGCTGCACGCCGCATGCCTGCAATCCGAATTCTTGTTGTGCCTGTTTGCACGGTTTTGCAGATGACGATCCCAGCTTGCCGCCCGCAAGCCTCTTGCGGTCGCATGGCGGCAGGGGTCCGTATTGTCCTCTCAATTCGAAATTCAGACAATGGTAATTCGCAAGGCCTGCTGTAGGCTTGACCGATGTCCAATGTTCTGTTACCAGGGCCATGCATCCGCTGCAATCACACTACACCGCCTTCGACAGGATGGGTGAGCGATGGATGCCAATGATGTGAGCCCCGTCATTAGTTCCGAAGGTTCAGCCCCTTTTTGGAGCATGATTCTCGGAGAAACCGAACAAAAGCAGGGCCAGCAGAACGAGCTCCTGCATGGTGTCTGTGGTAGTGGGGTCTTGCATTTGCAGGCACAACATCCTGACAGAGTGTCCTGTGACTGTCTTGGAAGGTGCAGACTGCGCTCAAGCTTTCGCAGGTGGGTTTGTTTCCGTGATGAGCTGATGCACCTGTGCTTAATACATCTTAATACAATAGAAACCCACAGCCCATTGCCTGGAAAACGTTTTCACCTCCGGGTTCCACCCAAGGCTGAGCTCCCTAATATCCGAAAACCCTGCACTTTCTTTACAACCTTAGAAGCTTTAGAGAAACCCGTGCGCAGCCCCAGTGCCAGGAAGACCAGCAGACGATCACGGCGCTCAAGAAAGAGATCGAGCGCGCGTGGAAGATGGTCGAGGTGTCGCTGGGTCTTCGGTTCTTGCTTGGTGGTTCATGGGTAGTTATAAGTAGGGTTATAAGTCCCCTAATATGGGTTATAAGTATAGTTACCCCACTTATAACTACCCATGAACCTCCAAGTGGGTTTAGCTTAGGATGCTTGGGCCTGGGTTCAGGGCCTAGGCTTGGGGTGGAAGGGCTTGGGAATCACGCAAGCCCTAAACCCCAAACCCTAAACTCTAAACGCCCTAAACCCTAAACTCTAAACCCTGAGCCCTAAACCCTAAACCTAAAACCCTAAACCCTAACCCTAAACCCTAAACTCTAAACCCTATAAGCCCTATACGCCCTAAACGCGAAGAAGATCTGGGACCTGGGAGTTCAATGGCTCGCTGGTAGGAGAGGGGAAGTACTGTGGGATGTTCTTGGCAGTTGTGCGACCTTTGCCTCCCGGTAAAAAAAGGGGCCTCGATAGTTACCTATACTATTTTAGGGGGTTCCTTATTGTACTCATAGTCTAATATACCCCTAAGCCCTATTATAATGATTCAGGCGCCTACATCATGCTTGTTCGAGTCACCGGTCGTCTAAGGCCTCCCACGAGAAAGAGCAGCGAGCCAGGGAAACGATCCAGAACCTGATCCTTGGCTTTTTGGGGTGGTTCGGGCTTTGCCCGATGATGACAACGATGACGACATTGATGATGGTGGTGATGATGATTCTGGTGATGGTAAAATGGTGCTGATTCAGTGATGATGGTCATTATGACAGCAGCGACGATGATTCTGCTGCGTCTGATGATGGTGGTCATGGCGACGGTTCTGGCCATAATAGTGATGGTGATGGCAATGCTCGCCGTATGAAGTTTTCAGTGCTTTATTCAAGCAGCCCAGGAAGTCGGAGATTACGAAGCTGGGCCGACTTGTAGAACAAGGCCGGGCGAGGATAACTGGATGCAGGTGCACTGTGCCCAGCGTGTCTTCGGGCCTTCTGGGTCGATGCAGGCTTGGGGAAGGTTTTCCTACATAGGGGCCAATGCCGCAATCATCGGCAGAGTCTCGTTCTGCTGAAATATACGGTGTCAGACCCCTGCCATACCGACAACCATAGCCAGGGCAACAGCATCAGCAAAAGCAGCCACACCAACCGAGGCAGCATAAACCCGTGAAGACGACGCCGACGAAGCGGTACGAGGACGAACAAGGACGAGGAAGAGGACGACGGCGACGGCAACGCTCTCGAATGCCAACACGAACTCCGACTCCAACGCCAACCTCGCCAATACAATTACAGTGCTACTGCTACCACGACTAGTACTAGTAGTAGTCGTCGTCGTAGTCGGAGTCGAGTGGTAGTGGTAGTGGTAGTGGCACTGGTAGTGGTGGTGGCGGTAGTAGTAATAGTAGCAATAGCCGTAAGCGGACGAGGAGGAGGAGGGGAAGCGGAAGTGGAAGTGGGAGTGGGAGCAGCACGAGTAGCAGTAGGAGTAGGGGTAGAAGCAGCAGTTGGAGTAGTAGCAGTGCTGGTCGGAGGAGGAGTAGCATTCATTGGTGGTGGTAGTTTTAAACGTGATTCTTTCAGCCAGAAGAGAATAGATATCCGTGGTGGTGACAGTAGTTGTCGTAGCATCAGCGTAGAGCAGTCCAAGATATGCGAACTACGACCTGTTGTCGAGGCGCCGGGTTGAGTATCAACCAGGAAAACATGGTGAACCAGCTGGTTCAGGACCATGGTGGGTTTGCCGACACTGAATTCAGCTCGTCCCCTCCGATGCTTTGTTGGGCACCGCTTGGTGCAGGTGGCGGTGCCCATGACCTTATTGTAACATTTTGACAGGAGAAGAACGACCTTGTGAAGCATCGCGACATGCTTCAGGGCCAGGCAGGTTTCGGCTGCAGGGTCCTGGGGTTGATGCACAATGCAGCATGCCGTCATCGCTTACCTCGTGATTCTGATCGTGTTTTGCCGTTGCTGCCAACAGCAAATCTACACCAGTACGCCACTTCTACTTCTGCCACGGCCACGGCGGCTCTACACTAGCAGTACGTTGCCACCCACACCACGACCACGACACTCTCGCTGTTCCTGCTGCTGCTACTGCTTCTACTGCTACTGCTACTCCTGCTCCGCAAACTACTGCTTCTACTACTTCTGCTGCTCCTGCTACGACAACGACGACGACTACTACTACCACCGCTACTACTACTACTACTACTACTACTACTACTACTGCTACTACTACTACTACTACTACTACTACTACTTCTACTACTTTTACTACTTCTACTACTTCTACTACTTCTACTACTACTCCTGCTGCTGCTGCTGCTGCTACTACTACTTGTGGTACCAGTTGTGTGACCGGTTGTGATTGCCCACTGGCAATCTGCGAGATGGAGTTCAGTCTGAAGCAAAGTGACGCCGCACTACGGAGAGAAATCCGTGAGGTCCAGCAGATGCAGCAGCAGAACACCGACCTTACTGCAAAGGTTGCGAAGCTGGAGCAGGACTCTAGTCGTGGCTCTTGCAATGCAAGCGGCAGCAGCAGTGATAATACTAACAAGACTACTAACAATAACAATGGGGGCAGGAGGAGGAGGAGTAGCAGTCCCAGCCTAGCTTATCTCACAACACCCAAAGGCCTAAAGGCCCCTGTCCGAAACCCACATCCTGGAGGCTTTTTCCCCAACAGCGAGAGCTTTGGGTTTTCAGCCGAAGTAAGGTCTGGGGCAGATTCGGGCAAGCTCTGGGGCAGGTTGGTTGCGGGTGGGTTGCGGCTCGAGTTCCGGTGAGCGGCTTGCGGGCGGACGGCTTCACTTTGAGCCCAAGACGCCCGCAACAAATCGTACTTCTTAGCACCGTGGCCGTACTTCTTGGCACCGGGGCATCACTTTGAGCCGAAGACTCCGAAGACGTTGGCAACACGCCGTTGTTCTTCGCGGTGGGGCCTTACTTTGAGCCCCAGACGCCGGCAACAAACTGCTTCCCAGCAGCCGGGTCTCACGGTGCCCAAGACGCGGACTACAAATCGTACTTTTACTTTAATAAGTACCGGGGCTCACCTTCAAAAAATCGCACTTCTTAGCAGGGACTTGACGTTGATCCCACGATGCCAGCAATAAGCCGTACCTCTCAGCACTGGGGGGCCCTTCTTTGAGCCTAAGATGTCAGCAGCAACTCGTATCTCTTGGCACCGGGGCCTCACCTTGAGCCCGGCAGCAAGTCGTACAGGCCGCAATTTGAGCCGAATACGCAGACAGCGAATCGTACGTCTTCGTACCGGGGTTTCACTTTGAGCGCAAGACGCCGGCAACAAATCGTGCCTTTTTTTGCGTTGCGGCCGTGCAGGGGGGAAATTAAAGTCGTTTGTGCCACTCGTGCCACTGGCCCACGTGCACGGCAACAGGAACGAGTGGAACAGGTAAGGCACAGGGCGAGTGGAGCGAGTGGAACGATTGGAACATTGGTTTATTGGTGCCCCCAGAACAGTGCGACTGCACAGGGGAGGAGGCGAGGAATTGAAGTCGTCCGCGCCACCCGCGCCACTCGCGTCACTCGTGCCACTCGTGCTGCTCGCGCCGCTCGCGCCACTGGCACCACTCCCGCCACTCGTGCCACTCGCGCCACTAGCGCCACTCGCGCCACTCGCGCCACTCCCGCCACTGTAGACGAAAGGCGTGAGTGGAGCAGGCAACGTACAGGGCGAGTGGAACCAGTGGAACGATTGGAACAGTGGAACGAGCGCAACGGTCGGAGCGGGTGGAACGAGTGGAACGGTCGGAGCGAGTGGAACGGGATTAGCCCCCCCATGCCGACTCTCTCGTTCTAGCACCGAGGCCCACTTTGAGCACAAGACCCCGGCAACAACTCCTATTTCTTAACATCGGGGCTCACTTTGGGCCCAAGATTTTGGGCAACAAGTCGTACTTGGTGCTTCGCAGAAGCGGGGCTGCATTTTAAGCATGGCAACAAATCCTACTTCTTGTAACAAGTCATACTTCCTAGTACCAAGACGCCGGCAACAAATCGAACATCTTAGCACCGGGCTCTCACTTTGAGCCCAAGACACCGGCTTCTCACTGGGCCTCACTTTAAGCCCAACAAGCCAGCAACAAATCGTACTTCTTAGCACCGTGGCTGCAATTGGAGCCAGCAACACATCTTACTCTCACTTTGAGCACAAGACGGCGGGAGGTTTTGGGATGGGTTCCGGCGAATTGGGGTTCCAATCTGGGTTCTGGAAACTGGCTGGCAGGAATTCGATTCAGTCCAAAATACAATTCTGTGTCCACAAGGCTACTCACACCCATAAGCTTCTCAAATCGAGCTCCCGGAGCTCCGACCAAGGCCAAATGTGCATTTTCCGAGGCCTGCTAAATGCATTTCGGCACTGGTTTTAGCTTCGTTCGATGCATGTGTAGATTTTGTTGCTACCATGCGAAAAGGCTGTTGAATCATTTCCTGCGGCTTGACAACAGGCCTAAATGCATTCTTCAAGGCCTGCAAACGCGGCTGGGCCTCCTTCAGACAAATCCGATATCTGATCTGACGTCCGATGACGCTACACCCGAAAATGCTTTAAACTAGCTTGCCGGAATCCACCCCAGGCCAAGATGCATTTTTCGAGGCTTGGAGAATGCATTTTAGGCTGTTTCAGCTCTTCTGGTATCCACAACCGAAGCCACCCACCAACTGCTCAAGTTGAGCTCTCGGGGCAGGGACAACACATCTGCAGCTCTTTCAGCTTTTCTGGTGCCCAATAGCGTGATCCCAGCGAAGACCATGTTGCTGATACTCAATGGGATTATTTCCCTGCCTTGTAAAGTCGGGTTCTTCTTTGCATGAGGCAAGGAAGTCAAGTCCTTGATTTTACCGAGGTTGACAGGAACATCAGTTTGTTTCCTTCCCTTGAGATACATGTAGATTCAATGTAGATGTCGCAGAAGCCGCCGGACTTCTGCGTTTGACCGAGCAATCGACGCGAGGACCGGCAGCAGGGCAACGGCGAGCTCCAGTCCTTGCGCGAAGCCTTCCAGAAGCTTCTCGAGGCGCCTTCGGTCCAAGTAGGCGCCAGGTGTAACGAAGGGAATCTGGGGGCTGATGCTGAGTGGCCCCTCAAACCCTGATTCGAGATTTAGCATTCGCAATAAAACCGGCCTTACAGCGATCCCGAGCCGGGATGAAAGGCACAGGACACGAGAGATGGTTGATCGTGCAGAGTATTGTAAAGCACACTGTGAGTAGTAGCAGCAGGGGTTGGTGTAGCAGTAGCTATTCGCCGTCGTCTTCTTCCGTCGCCCTCGTTGTGCTTCTAACAGTAGTCGTCGTCGTAGTGGTAGTAGCAGCAGAAGCAGGAGGAGGAGGTGTACGAGTAGGAGTGTCAGCAACAGCCTGAGTAAGGCTTTCCAGAATGCATACAGATGTACACCAATAGCGAACCTGTAGGTATTTAATGGCAATGAGCCTGTCATCTGCAGTGGTCATGCTCGTCGAATATCACTAGAATCATGTCCAACAAAGCAATAATGCTGATGTAACAAGTAGCAACGCTGCTTGATACCCAGGTAGCAACAGCAGCAGGAGAAGCAGTTGTCTTAGTTATGTTTTGTGCAGGCAGGCCCCGGTGGTATTGTAGTAGCTGTAGTCGTAGAAGTCGTCGTGTTCTTCTACTCGAATGAAGTCTTCGTCGCAGCAGTGGTAGAGAAGGTGTAGGTAATCTAGTACGGGATGGCCGTAAGCAGCAACACCAACAGAGAAACTCGTAATGTTGAGGCGGAGGGTATGCTTTGTCAAGCGTGCTGCTGCTCGCCCTGATCTTCTGAGGAAGCGGACCAGCAGCAGAAGCGAAAGGAGAAGCTAGACAAGGACCGCCCTAGAAAAGAGAGTGTAGCTGGTAAGACCATTTGGGTAACTGTTACTCTTAACACGGCTCTTAATACGGCACCCTATAGTGTCCGAGCCCAAAAGGGGCCTAGTTTGACATTGAAAGCCTAACCCCGAATGCAGAGCCAAAGGCCTAAGCCCCAAATCCTAAATCCTAAACCCTAAATCCTAACCCCTAAACCAAAACCCGAAACCCTAAATCCAAACCCTACGCATACCGCAGGCCCGATCTGAAGCCACCATCCGAAACAACCGAACCTCTCCACCCCGAAGCCCGTGTGTCTCTAAGTTTGACATGACTCTGGCATTACGGTACTATCCCGATGCACTCTCCATGCTCTGGCAGACAACATGCAGAATGACATCAAGGAGCTCGCGAGCAGTAAAGCCAAAGTGCGATCAACCTGTAGTTGCCGAGCTTGTGAAGCCCCTCCTCCCCTCCGACACCCAAAGTAGTCGCAACTGGCTGCCTGAAACACCACGAGTGTCCTCATGAGAGTCTAATTTCCGGAACGAGAGCAATCCCTGGATCCGAACAAAAGCCAACGAAGCCGAACACCTCGGCGCCCTTCATACCCTATAGAGCCCTAAGAGCCCCCGAAGCCCCTGCAAGCGGCAGAAACGGCTAAAACCACCCAGAAGCCTCAGGACCTGAAGGACATGAGACAAGGCCTGGGAGCTCAGGTCAGGGCAGGGCTTTAGGGGGTTTAGGGTTCAGGGTTTAGGGTTTAGGGTTTAGGGGTTTCGATTTTGAGGTTTCGGGAGCTTTTAGGCTTTGGGGCTTCAGCCGGTACGAGAGCACAAGGCCTGCCTGAAAGGCGACCGCAGGCTGCTCATGGCTGGGCTACCCACTTTTTCTCATTGATGCCGTCTTGTGTTGGGTTGAGTGCCCCCTACCTGCTCGGGCCCCTCTCTGATACCCTAGGCCCCAGGCTCAGTCTGAATCCTACAGGCCCGAAATCCTGATGCTTAGGATGCTTCTTGACGTGTCGGGCCGCCCTTGCCGGGTGATTCCACACGGTCAACCCTTGAAGCCTAAACTTCTGAGCTCTAGAAGCCCTGAACCTTTCAACCCAACGCCCTGGTCATATAACTTAAAGTATCCAAGCGTAGAGTATCCAATATAGAATGTAGAACATAGACGTTCATAATGTACAATACAGTAATAATTAGTGTAAGACTATAGCACCAACAGTACATAAGATGTAATTCATACAGTATAATATCTGCATCTCTCTCTATATATATAGTGTATATATGTACTTACTGAATGTAGAAAAGACAATCTATAGTAGAGTACATAGTATGTAATTGACACGAAATATACATATACATACAAGTATCGATATTATAAATATTATGCCATAATGCAATGCGTATACTACTGTATACTTGCCCAGGTCTTGAGTCAAAACAAAGCGAAGTGAACGCCCGGCGAGAAGAACTTGCCCACGGCGAGGCGCCTCGGGGGTCTCTTGGGTTCACTAGGGTTGCTAGGGTTTAGGGACAACTGCAATTGGGGGTTTAGGGTTTAGGGTCAAGGTTTAGGAGTTTAGGGACAACGGGGATTGGGGGATTTGGACACGGCTTGGAGGTGTGAGCTTGGCGTTTTCCTGCAAGTAATTAGCGTCCGTTACATCCGCTGGCTGCTTTTCGCGGTCTCGGCGAGCATTCCTGCTTTGTGCAATCCCCGAGTGTTCCTCATCGTTCGGCTTGCAGGAGAAGCAAAAGCACCTGACGCGACTCCTGCGCGAAGAGCGGCAGGAGGTCCATGTGCTAGCCCGGCTCACCATGCTGTTTCGTCAGTTTCATCCCAATGGCCAAAGCCCGATGTGTTCGAAAAGGGTATTTACTAACATCAGAATCATGACACTTGCCTTGATACTTGTCGCAACAAGCCTGGCAGTGCTTATGCCCTAGCACAGGTTCTGTCTCTTTTCTAGCTCATGTGGTTCTTACGGTTTTTACATCAGAATTTGTTACTGCCAGAGACGGCACATCCGCCGTGGAAAGCAGCTTCCATCAGAGGGCTCTGATCAACACGGGCTTGCTGTAGAGGAGCTTATAGCTTGGAATGTGTCGTCACGGGACCTTTTTTTCTTTAGCATAATTCAAGAGGGCATCTGGGTTTGCAAGATAACGTGGCCGCCCAGTGGATGCGCAAGCCTGGCTGCAGGAAGAGCGGCTGAGCATGCGAGCTGCCCAGCTCAAGGGCAATTATGAGCACCTCGTGAAGCAGCACAAAGAGGCCGCCGGCGTCGGAGTCCCTAAGCCCTTAACCATCGACCCTAAACCGACAAAAGATGTTCAGCTCAGGAAAGCTTTCGAAAGCCTCGAAGCCCCCCGAACAGCTACCCGAAAATTCGAAAGCTTTCCTGGAACTAATGCCCAAAGCCCCAAAAGCCTCTGTAGACAAGCTCCAAGCCCCAAACTCTTTCCAGCTCGTCCCAGGAGCAGTCGACGCTAGCCCGTCTCAAGGACGAACAGGCCGGGTTTTTTGGTGTGGAGGCGTTTGAACGAAACTGTGGTTCCGGATTTTCGGTCCCGCTTCTCGGGGCTTTTGGGGGCCTCTAGGGTCTTTAGGCTCTAGGGGTTGAGGGTGGTTCGGGGTTTGCAGGAGGGTTTGGGGCTAGGGTTTCATAGCTTAGGATAGTACCTGTGCAGCCAAGAGAGCGATTGGCTCTGCGGCTGCTCTGCAGGGCCCGCTATGAATTGAAATCGTGTTTGTCGTGTCTCTGCGGGGCCCAAAGCAAGTCGGATGATCCCCAATACCTTATAGCTTCAACTCCAGAAAAGCAATCTTGAGTCCCGAACTCGTAAACCCGCAGACGTAGGGTTTAGGGTTTGGGGACCCTAAATCCTAAGCCCCAAAACCCTAAGCCCCCACGAAAGCCGAAAGCCGACTCCCAGGCAGACTACAAGGCGAAGGTGAAGTTCCGACAGGCCCGGATGCCATCAGCCCTTGGTCTGGTGATAAAGGGTAAGCACTACGAGGCTACTATGATAAGGACCCACTATCAGGCTATTATGATTAGGACCCATTATCAGGCGACTATGATAAGGACCCATGGTAAGGCTACTATGATAAGAGCGGAATTCGTGGCCTGGAACTGTTGTGTTTTCCGGGGCTCAAGAGAGGCCAGGACCCTCAGACTAAGCCCAGAAAGAAGCATACCGCCCCAATCCTGAACCCTCAAACCCAAAACCCAAAACTCTACTGTCAAGCCCACCCGCCACCCTTACACCCTCAGCTCTACAGCCCAAATCCCTAAACCCTAAGCCTTGGAACTGGAATCCAGCCCATCCAAGAAACCTGGGCTTCTCTCCTTCTTTCAACCTTTCGGCGGCTGCGGAGGACGAGATCCATGCGCTGAAGAGTTCGAAGCAGAAGATGGAGAAGAGTCTAGAGGCCTGGGCCTGGTTGACTTGGGCTGAATCCAGGTTTGCAGGGCTTATAGGGCTTGCGAGGTTATTGGGTTTATACATGGTTTGTAGGTTTGACGTGCAAGTGCAAAGGCTGATTCAAATTGCTCAAAGGCTAAATCTAGGCCTATGCAGAATGCCGGACTGAAGCATCCCAAGCATGCAGAAACCCCTCACACACGCCTTTCCGACTAGCGAGGAGTCGTGAATACATAGCACCGTGGCACCGAGGCGTTGCAGAGCCTCAAGGACAAAGACGACGCTGAGTCGAGACGTCTGGAGGTGACTCTGAGTGGATTTAAGGGGACTGTAGGAATCGGAACAAACCCTGACACTCTTTCGTTCTAGCATGCTGTACACCGAAGGCCTGTTTTTTGTCATGAAGGCACACCTGCATCACTTTACAAGGCTCCGAAGGCTCTGGCATTTCAAGAGCTCAGGGAAGGGCCAATCTCCAGCGGGCTTTTCGTCTGCAGGTGCACGTAGGCTGAGTTTCGATGAGGGAGGCTCGGGAGTCCATTCTGCGTGCTGTGGCACGAAGTCCTGAGGCCAAGACGACTGACATGCGCGGGCAGGTCAAGAAACTGCAGGAGGCCGGATGTCTGTTGGGCAGGTAGGCTTGGGAAGACAGACTATAGAATCAGCGGCACTGCAGCCGTCCTCACGGCAGTCCTCGTCGTGCTAACAGAACGCTTTGGGTTGAAGCGTGTTTCAGTGCGTGTGATTCTCAGTGGTAGCTTGAGGACTCGCAGTAGAGTACAAACTTCAGGCCTGGGCCGGGCTGAGGCTTTTGGTTTTTGAGGGATAAGGTCTGGGCCAGGCTTCGAACAGAAAGTTGGGGATGGCCAGCTGAAGAGCTCGTGCAGCTATGGTCTCTTTGATAAATCTAGACCACAGAGACACGATTTTTCCTTTCGGATCGTCATACCTCGGGGCCAATCTATTCAATCTGGCGTCTTATGTCTTATCAAGGCCAGTACAGAGCACCGCAGTGCACAAGTACCTCCAGCGCTTCGTGTCCTGAAGTCACTCGGAGCTTTTGCCTGCAAGCTTCCCTAAACCCTAAACCCGAAACCCTAAACCCTAAACCTTCAGCTTTCGGCAACCGCCAGGACCTGGACAAGCAGAAGCAGGATTCGGAGGCCGTGACTTTGGGTGTTGCTACTGCTGCTGCTCCTCCCACTCGTCCTTCTGCCACCGGGCTTCTGCTCGTTCCACGGAGATAGCAGTGATCCGATGAAGGGTGGTTGTGTCACAGAAGTCTCCGTTTTACCGGACTCAACCTGGTTATGGTCACACCGTGCTCCAAGGTTTAGACTAGTGGCCTTAGGCTTTTGGGGTAAATTATACTGTAATTATCATAAGGAACCCCTCAAATAGTATAGGTAATTAGTATATAAGGCCCCTATATTCGACCTTTGAGTGTCGTAGTTACAGTTTTCCTCGGCTTCGAACGAGTTTCCTTCAGGGATGTCACCTCATGTTAAAGGGTTTTGGGGATGTCGGGAACAGGGTCCGTGCGCAGGATGTCCATGCTTTTGTAGGCAACTGATCTTTTGCACAGTACTTGTAGTGAGCGAACTTCAAGAGGTTGCCCTACACATCGTTTTTGTCGTACTTGGCGGTACCCTACCGCAGAAGAGCCTACTATGGAACTACCTTGGAGTGGTAATCAGTCTTGAGGCCCACGAAAAGCAAATCACGGACCTCCTGCACGAGAGGGACATCCTCGGCAAGGCGTGGCGCCCGGAGAGTTGACGAGGGCCCTCAGATGGATCGTCAGCTGCCCGAAAGGCTTTGGATACCTTGTCAGGCTTCCAAAGTTTCTGAGGCGGTGCATAGAGTTCGAGAATCGGATCCCGGGTCTCTGAGTCCAGCACATAACCTCTGAGGATTCCTGAAGCCCTGAGCTTCTGAAACCCCAGACCCCGAACCCTTAAACCCAACAAGAGCCTCAGGCGCTGATGAGGGGGGACGAGCGCTCCAAACAGCAAGCGGAGCTTGTCGAGCTCCATAAGGGCCAGGCCATCACCCTCTCCAAGGACCTCTCGGAGAATTGAATTTGATGGACTACTACTACTACTACTGCTGCTGCTACTACTACTACTACTACTACGACGACGATTACAACTACTGCTGCTGCTACTACTACTACTACTACTACTACCACTACTACCACTGCTGCTACTACTACTACTAC